AAAAAAAAAAAAAAAAAAAAGAAAGAGAATGGTTTAAGCTTCCAAAGTAAATATTTTTTGTTTCGTTAGGACACGGGTGTCTGCGAGTGTTTGGATGGCCAACAGGTTTGTCACGGTGTGTCCCAAGCTGTCGAAGGTCTGCTGCAAGTATTGCCTGGCAGGCCAACTCTAGACTGGATAGTATCGACTCATCAAGAATATATAGAAAAGAGGTGCCTACCACACATACACACACATACACACACACAAAAAGAAAGATACATTTATGAATTTAATTTTGGACTTTCTACTAATCGTGGTATTTGACAGATACGGAGGATGGTCGTTGTTCGACTCCGACAACGAGCCACTTTTCGTCGTCTGGTACAATAACAAGGGTCATCACGCATTACCGTCATACTTGAGCGCATTGAACGAGGCAATCCTGAGGGCGTCGGGCGTTCAAGCTCGTCTAACAACTTTGAATCATCCGCTGAAGCTTTCCAGCGATCAACTGAACCGAACGACCTTGTAAGTTTCAATTTTTCCAACATATTAATAAAAAAAAAAGAGAAAGAAGCAAAAAAAGCAAAAGATAATACGCGTGCTCGCCTTTATATTTTGATAAACCGAAATCCAATTAAGATCAAAGATTAGCACGCCGGCCTGATCTTTACCGCGTCGGCAGAATGAAGCGGAAAATGTGCATAATAAAATGGCGCGTGTTCCGTTTACTTTTAATTAACTCGCGGTGCCTACGCGATCGTGTCGTTGAACGTTTCAACCGGATATCGCGGCTTTCATTATTCGGATCCTATTTCTCTCTGTTAATCCGGCGATTCTCGCACCGGCCTGATTCAATATTAACGATTCGATATTAACCAATGCGAAATTCCCGTCGATTTTCAGGCTGCAGCACGTGGCCGACGTTGGCGTCGCGCTCGTGCTTTTGATCGCGTTCAACTTGGTGGCTGCTCAAGGATCCAAAGAACTGGTGAGGGAAAGATTGTCGGAAGAAAAGAGGATCCTTTACCTCGCCGGTGTTCATCCTGCCACGTACTGGATCACCGTGCTAATTTGGGACTTGTTCGTGAGTGATCAAAGACGCGAGAACAAGAACGAGAGGAATTGCAAACGCTACTTGAATCCCGATCTTTCCAGGTATTTGGCTGCTCGGTTGCTCTGGCCGTGCTGGTTTTCGAGATCTTCGGTCTGCCCGCGTACGTCGCCAGAGACAATTTGCCTGGCATTTGTCTGT